AAACAGTATCGGGGATAGCGGTGACCCCTGGGGGACGCCAGCTCGTAGGGGGATTGGCTCTGACTCCTTGCCATCGAACCGGAGGCGTACCGTCCTATCCTCCACGAAGCTGCGTACCCACTCCTGAACCCACTCCGGGTAGCCTTTCCGGGCTAATATGGAAATCAGCCGTCTGTAATTGACCGTATCGAATGCCCCCTTGATGTCCAGCTGTAGCAGCGAGGCGATTGCCCCGCGTCTCCACGCCGTATAGACCACGTACTCAACTATACGTATTGCCAGTTCGGTGGACCTCCCAGCGCGGTTACCCATTTGGCCGTTTGGTAGTAGGCCGGCCGCCTCAGCTACTTTGGTGATACGCTGGCTCATCGCCGTCTCTATTACCTTCCCTACCGTGCTAAGCAGGGCAATGGGGCGCCAGCCGCCAGGGGTCTGCTTCTGAGCTGTCGTTTTATTAGGCTTAGGGATAACAACCACCCTCGCTGAGGGGAAGCGCTCCGGGTAGTACCCCAGCCTAAAGCTAGCTGTTGCCAGATCCGCTAGGATCTCCCATAGGGGTTCACCGCAGGCCTTTAGCAGGCCAGTGGGGATCAGGTCGTCGCCGGGAGCCTTCCAAGCAGCCGTTCCTTTGATGATAGACTCGATATCCATTGTGTTCACCTCCATAGGGATGTTCAGCTCTGGTCTCGTCTGTAATAGGCCGCGATCGAGGTCCGATAGATCTATACACGGGTCTGGGAAGAACCTCTCAGCTAGTAATTTTGCCTTCTCGTCATGTGTACGTGCCGTAAGCGTGTCGCCGGCGTCCCTCCGGAGATCTGGCAACCCGTGGGCCTCAGGGGGGGCCCAGCTCCGTAGCCTGGCCCACCTCTGCAGTGCCCACAGGCTTTTGTGATCCTTCGCCGTCCCCTCGAGCTTCTCGTGCCAGCTACGCGTCTGTGCTTCGCTGATTTCGAGCCGTTGTTTTTGGCCGGCTCTTGTATATTCGTCCCAGTTGGTCTGCGACCTTGCCTGGAGGTAGTCCCGCCGTCGTCTCTTCGTCTCAGCGCAAGCCTTGCTAACCTGCGGGCACCACCACGGGACCCCAGCGCCTCGGCCAACGGTGCGTCTCGAGACCGCCACGTCGGCGATCTCTTGGAGGTTCCGGATAACCCAGTCAACAGCCTGGTCCAACTCCGTTATCGTCTCAACCGGCAAATAATTCATAAATCTCTGGCTTGATTCGGCTACAATGAGCCACTTATCCGCCATCGCCCAGTTCCACCCTTCGACACTGCGGCGGCCCTCCTTGACTGCTTCCCCGTTGGATATTACCCTAATCACTTGCGCTCTGTGGTCTGAGCCCTCTAGGCCCGGGTCCCCATCGTAATCAATCCTAGCCCCTTTCGTCACCCAGGCTAGGTCGATAGTCGAGTCTCGTTGTTTGTGCCTTTGCCGTGTGATTTCCCCGAACGGCGTAACGAGTTCTAATCGCCAGCGTCGCGCAAACTCCACTACGTTGTCGCTGCCCCGTGACGACCGTCCGTGGACGTCCCACAGCGGGTGATGTGTATTGAAGTCCCCCACGAGGACTTATGTCCCCTCCGGCGCCCCATTAGGGAGGTCTTGGAGCGGGCTGACCCAGCGGCTCCCGGTCTGGTTTGGTGAATAGATAGACCAGATCGTAAGGGCGTCCGGGCCTGCCCCGAACGTAATACTGCTCCAGTCCATCCCGGTACGGGGTCGCAACGCAGCCACGTCGTATCGTTTATGGACATATAGCGCAGCTCTGCCGCTGGTGTACACTACTTCGTACCTGGACGACTTCGGGCAATAAATCGCCTTCGTCCGCCGGTTGATCCATGGCTCTTGAGCCGCTATTATATCATAGTCACCCCCCTTATCCAGCGCTAGCGTTGCGTTCGCCTTTGAATCTGCGATATTCCAGTAGAGAATAGAGACTACCATTAAGCTGTCGATGGTATATCTTCGTTCGTACGTCCCTTAGTGAGGAAGCTGCGCATTGCTGACGCAGACCGTTCGGTTCGCTCCTGCTCCACTCGCGATCCGCCTAGGGGGCGGCCCCGGGGTCGTACAACTGTAAACCCGTCGCTGGTCAATGAGCTAGGTGGTATGAGCCTGCCCTCACTAGATAACCCGTCCGAGTAGCTGCGGACCTCGAATTGTCGGGGGCGGTGAGCGTACGCCTCGCGTACGCGTAGCCGCTGCTGTTCTGCCGTAGGGCAGTCCCTGTCCCACGCCGTGTGCTTCCCTTTGCAGTTCACACAACGTTTTTTGCCGCTAGGTGCCTTCTCGGGGCAGTCTTTTTCACCCCCTGGGTGTGCCGTTGCAGCGCAGACGCCGCAACGCGCCGTCTTCTTGCAGTGTTTCGCGATATGGCCGTATTCGTAGCACTGGTAGCACTGCCGAACCCGAAGATTGCCGTCGTACGGCTCGCAATCGAATATCTGGGCCTCCCAAATAAGCCCTTCGGAGCATAGTTCCATCGCCGCCTCCACGCTATCCACGTGTAGTATCAGGGCCGCATACGGTGCTTGCGGCGCCCGGGGGAGGTTTCTTTTAGCCTTAGAGAGGTGCTTTGTATTGTCCCGCTTCAGGTCTTTAAGTAGCTGGCTCTCGTCGTGGACCTCTCGCAGCCGTTTCGCAGGCAGCCCCTTCGCGATCACTGCAACTTCTCTGCGGTTGAGAAGTGCCTTATCGCCGAAGGCACTACGCACCCACCTGCTGTCCGTGGTCGCCGCTGAGGCCGACTGCTTAAACGTCACTACGGTATCGCCACTGCGCAGCCTGCGGGCCGCCACTGCATCGGTGCTGCCGCGTGCACTGTTCACCGCTTTTACGACCTCAGCCGCCGATCTGTTCTTCATATTAGGGTCCTCTGTCCCCCGGATCACTACCTCTCTCTCCCTTCGCTGGGGCACTACAACCCGCTGCTGCCACACTGGGGCTTCACCGGGCCCCCGTCCCTGGGCCGATCCTGAGGCGATTGAGGCCCAGGATCGAGTTGTAGGCAAGGCCATGTTCTTCACCGTATCCTGCATGGTCTTCTCAACCATCGTCTGGATCGCCGCAGGAATTTCGGCAAGGGCCAGAGTCACTGCCAGTACGTCGGCATGTGTGGCGGGTCTGTCGGCCCCCTCCAGCGTCCTGCCGGCCAGTTTCACCCCCAGCCAACGCTCCATCAAACCCCCCATGACCTCAACCTTCTCATGTGGGACCAAGTCGGCAATCTCTTGTTCTACTTTTTCTCGTTCTCTGTCGATGTCTTCCCTCTTTGCGTTTTTGCTGCTGATGCGCTCCACGTTCAGTGCGTGGGCACTTTCGTTGACCTGGGGGTGGTGAAAACTCTGTTCGAGTCCCGCCCGTCCCCCGTCAATCACCATCGGCGCCGCCATCGCTTGCGTCCTCGCTTCGCGTGCGATGCGAGGTCACTGTCCGACGTAAACGGTCATTAGGAATCGAATGCCGCAATCGGTTTGATGATTTAACGCTGTTCGAAGAAGTTATCGATGAAAGTCAGAAGCCTTCCAATCTATTAATCGATTCATAACTGATCAGTCATTGATTAGCAACCGTACCTTGCCCTGGTCATCTTTGGCAGTCACTTCAGGGAAGGCCGGGAACCCAGCAGGACGAATGGCCCAGCTCTTGTACGTCTGGTACGCGGCCTATACGATTAGTTAGCAAAACACCCTTGATTAATCGCGTCGAGTAGCTTACGGATTGCTTGTACGCGTCCATGGCTATAACCGATGGTAGATAAATAGCTGATGGATGGGCGCTAGTTGGCAGTCCAGTTGGTGATAGGGTGTGAGATACGTATGAAATAGAGGAAAGATTGTGGGCTGACGAAAGTTTTGATAGGTTGCTAGAGATGTGGGGCTAATTCTGCCAGAGGCCACTAGTCTGGATTTGGAAAAGTGGGTACACCCAAACTGTCAATTGATCACTGATCGATCTTCAACTTATTACGCACACGCCACTCTATGCTCCACTAAAGACCCACATGTCATCTTGGCAACAGGGGGGGAGTGTAACTCGTATGTGCACTCCCGGCATGCATTGATGCGACGGAAAGACGCTGTAATAAAGATCGCCCCCGCCCCTCCCCCATGTTTTACCCTAATACAAATATGGATTAAATATGCCCCAGTCCTTGCCGGCCCCGGCCCCGGGATCCATGTGGAGTGATAAGTCTAGACTTCCTGGGACCAGATCCACAGCTGAGCATTAAGGGCATGATCAGTAACGCTAAGAGGGATAGGATCGTTTCCCACCCTAGATGCATCATCCCTGGCTACAGAACAGGGGATTGAGAAGAAAACCTTTGGAAATCGCCCTTTCAGTTTTTGCTCGATTTATGAAACTGCGTCAGGCCATTTTAGGCTCGTCCATCGAGACGAGGTGGAACATGTGGAATCCCCAGAGGCAAGTGCCCCTCCCGTCTTTCGCGCACTGCATCAAGCCCATCAGGTCGACGGATCGTCGGGTACAACCGTTTCACTTTGCTCCTCAACGGATCGTGGAGATCATGACCTGTTGCTGTCTTCTATGTCTCTACAATGAAGGAGCCATTGGCTCCCGAGTCCACTCGTGTTGATATCACTGGTCCAAGCACTCGATGTCGACGGCGACACTGCCCCTCAACTCAACACGGGCTTGAAGTGACTTGTACTAGAGCAAATGCTACTGATACGTGACCCCATGGGGGTTACCCTATAGCTATAGATAAGAGCTATAAAATAGCTCTGCCAGGCCAGAATAGCCGACCTGGCATCCTTTCCCAATACAACAATTCACACCCCATATGCACTCGCATCAGCTACACAACAAGCGGCGTATAACGATACATCTGTCGGCAATAGGCTGATCAGAAAATGATGTTGGCGAGCACAAAATACAAATAGATCCAACTGCCCGTCAACCACGTCATGTTGCTGCCGAGCACTTTCTTCTCCAATTTCGAAGATCTCCCTCTCTCTTCCCCAATATCCTCCATAATGTCTTTCGCAACCCCTCTTAAGCTCCCACCCGGCGTGGACGCTACTCAGTTCGAGTTATACGTGAAACGTGCAACCGAGATTGTGGGCGCCGAAAATGTAACCGTCATCTCCAAGGTCGAGGAGCTCGACAAGAAGTCGTACCTTGACCCGTCCAAGGCGCACGACATGTTCCATATGTTCGAGAAGGACCAATTCATTGCTTCGGCCGTGGTGGCGCCTCGCAAGGTGACCGAAGTGCAGGCCGTCATGAGGTTGTGTAACGAGTTCAAGATGCCCATCTGGCCGTTCTCCATCGGCCGCAATGTCGGATACGGAGGTGCAGCACCCCGTGTTCCCGGTAGCGTGGGCTTGGACATGGGTCGAAATATGAACAAGGTCCTCGAGGTGAATGAGCAGAATGCTTACTGCTTGCTCGAGCCTGGTGTGTCGTATACTGATCTCTACAATCATCTGGTTAAGAAGAAACTCAATGACAAGCTGTGGGTCGATGTTCCGGATCTGGGTGGCGGCTCAGTCTTGGGCAACTGCATTGAGCATGGCGTTGGTTATACGCCCTATGGCGACCATTTCATGGTGGGTTTCCCGACTAATATGAACAGAAGAAGATACTCGAATAGATAGCTGAATGACATCTTCGTCTCACGAATTGAGTAAATATAGGGACAGGCGATGGGTTCGAGGGTTCGAGGTGGATGAGAAGATTAAAGGACAACCTCTGTTGTCGGACATAGGTAGAGCTGAAGCGACTAGAAACCCTAAGAATATAATAACGAAGCGTGGAAAATGATGAGGATGATAATAGAAGGTTCGAGGCGTCACAGTGGAGGAAGTGAGGACGACGAATCAAAGGCAGAAATCACAAGAAGATACTTATACTCTGTGATTACTGCAGCACGTGCAAACGCGCAAGGTTTTTTATTTGAAGAGGATCAGCATGGTCCACTAAATTTCAGAAATCGGAAATGGCTGGATGAAGAAGATTATTCGTACGATTAGGTCTCGGGAGCGGCGACGGTTACCAAGCGCCAGCCAACAAACGTAACTTGGACAAATCACAAAACGAAAAACGAGATCGCGTTCAACAACACACGAGGAGCTCCTAGTATTTAGGGTAAACAGCTTCAGAGCATCAAATCCAGTCCTTCGAAAGGCAATTCAGGTCCGCGTGTTGATGGTACAGGATGTAGAACTACAATCGTGGTCGGTGACAGCACCTCCCAACAAATCTGTTCGTCAATAGCCCACAAGAAGCTGGGTTGAGAAAGATCAACTGCTACGTCTCATGAAAGATGGTACGAAGTTCGAATGAATCTGGCGAGAGAAATGGCTCGAACGTGCCCAGTGATAGCAGCTCCTGAACCAGCTCCTCGACCGTCCGTGATCCTCGAGATTAGCACCACTCCAGAAGCGAACGCTAAGCCATGATCCCCGAGTGCCTCATATAGATCTTTCCGTCAATTTCCTGCAACTAAAGTGGATATTCCTTCGTGCAAACTCTCGGTTGTGCCTTGTTTGTCATTTGAACTCGTCGATAAACATCGTTTTGTTGCCTTTGGCAACTTTAGCCGCTCACAAACAAGACCGTACACATTGCCAGAGGTCCTTTGGTCAATTTATGAGTGAGCCTTCGGTAGCTATATGTGTTTATTAAAAAAGTGCCACGCACGCTGTATGGATATATGATGTCAAGCTGCGTTGCTAAAGGTCCTGAATGAATTTCTTCTAGACATGATTTCGTCAATACCAATGAAGGGCACCGTTCTAGTTTTCCCGCAACCTTGGGAAGCAGGGGCTAAACATCTGGCAGCAATGGAGATCACATCACGCAAGGATCGCATGGGAGAAAACATGTCTGTGAATAGTACAAGGAAGGCGGAAAACATGAGCAGGGGCAAGATGGGGAACTCTTTTTGGTTGCTGGTAATGAGGCAAATCGGCTGACCAAACTCTCCCCACATGGATGGCTTGGATATTCGGTTTTTCTTGATCACATTTTACCCCTGAGCTGTTCACTGTGCTCTGAGTTTGTAAAGTTTGGTTTTCTAATTTCCATCCAACTATTTTGCCTACTTGATTCTAACTCGGCATGTCTCATGTCATAGTCCCATTCTTTAATTGATCATTTTCGGCATAATCAAAAGCCAATATCCGACTGTGTATATCCTATACACCTCTCTGATTCAATTTCTCACTAGATCTCGGTGAAAACTATATGAGCAAACGGATCAAATCAAAGAAGCCTCCACTCGGCTTTATTGTAGTTACTCGGCCAGACACCGTTCTGTGAGGGGGATTAGTCAGATAGCACAGCCTTTTTGCACTGAGATTTCCTCACCTTTCCAGGAGCCAAGATTCCGTTAGGGTCAATAGCGTTCTTGAGCGTCTCGCTTAATTTCAACAGCGAGTGGTTGTTAAAGCTGTAGGTATCGGCGATCTGGTCCATGAGCGCCAAGTGAGCTCGATACTCTCCCCAGCCGTGGGCAGCACAATCAGTGATAAGGACTTTGATCAGCTTCTGCATCTTTTCCCGCTGGACGGCATCCTCGCGATCAAAAACGAGGCATACGATATGATGCATTTCGCGCTGGGGCGAAGTAGCGTCAGTAGTCCATTCCTGCAAAATATTTTCATCGACAAATGGAAGAAGAAGAACTCACCATGCCAATCGTAAAGGTGCCAATGAAGTCAAAGCCGGCCTCGATAACACGCTTCTTGGTGATGGAGTACTGGTGGTTGGCGGCATCACCGGTGATTTCCGAAATTGGCGAGAAGAACAAATGAGCGCCATTGGGTAGCCAGTCGACCCACTTCAGCTCATCAGTAGTCGGAATACCGCACAGAGTCTTGGAGCGGATATCCAGAACACCAGGAGACTTCTTGCCCTCCTCGGGCCAGTAGAACTTAGACCCCTCGATCTTGCCAAACGTGCCCTTGATGACCTCCCAACCGGCATTGCGAATAACCTCTGGCCCGTAGAGGGCGCCGTAGAAGTTCCAGCGGCCGAGGTTGAGCTGCTTCTGGATGGCGACGAGCTCTTCCTCGGTCAGGGGTCGGTTGACGTCCTTGTACTCTTTCTTGGCGCCTAGACGGCGGCGTCGAGCAGGATGTGGCGAATGCTGGGCACGTTCTGGAGCACCATGGCCAGACGCAGCTGGCGGATGATTTCGACGATCTTGGGCAGGTCGTCGTCCTTCTCAAACGTGATGAGATAGGGCTGGTAGCCGCCCGGGTTGGGCATCAGCCACATGCCCATCTTGACCACGACGCCGTAGTTGCTCTGGGAGAAGATGCCATCGTGGTAGGGGCCGAAGCCGTAGTTGAAAAGCTGAGGCGGGTATCAGTTCATTGTTCATTGTGACCTGGGAAAGATTTGCAAGTGATGGATTGACTTACCTGCCAGCAGCGGTTGCCAGGCTGCTCGTCCGGCGTCCCTGCAGAAGACTTTGCTGAAGGGTCAGGCATAGCGCCCATGCCAGTGCGGATGAGCTCTCCATTGGGCAGAACGATTTCCAAGCCGCAGTGCATCTATCAGAACGGTTGATCAGCTATATTGCAAACTGTGCTTCATCGCGGCTACTTCTGGCTACCAAAAGGTCTTCTCCTCCGTCCACTTCGTCAGATCAAACTCATCGTTGACGACAGTTGTCCCTCTTGCCGGTAGCGGCTGCACTCCTCTACCAGCACTTCGACTTGCAAAGCCTATTATGGTTATTGTCACCCCGCTCTTTGTTTCGGTCTGCTTCTGTCCCTTCCATGCCTTCTACCTTTCTTCACCTCTCAGGTTTTCTGTTTTGTATGCACCATCTACGGGTTAAGCCGACGGAGGATCAAGCCAATGAGTCCTCAGACAGCGAAGTCGCCGAGAAGCGAGGTACTGATGACTCCATGGACACCGTGGAGCACAAGAAGGCGGGTATCGATGCTCGAACTATGAGGCCGATATCAAGAAAACTCGATCCCTTTGCGGACAAGATCAAGCAGGATCTTATCCAGGTGCTAGACCAGAGGCTTGAACTTTACAAAACCTGGTGTTGGAGTTACAAGAGCCCTCTCAAACTCAGCCACTTGGGTTAAAACACTTACACTTGGAGAGGAATTCGACAGGAGAGAGCTAGAGCGAAGATGGCCGCCAGAAAGTTTTCGTCTCCCCAGAAAGAGGGTGTCAGGGTACGGCTAGGCCGAAGGCAATAGTACAGAGTGAAGGGGAGTGATGGGCGTCCCTCCTACGTAGCACCGGGTGGTCACTGGCGGTCACGGTAGTCTCAGGTAGGGGTGCCCACGATGGTTCATTGATCTCTACCCTCTCTATCTTCTTCCCGGACACCCGCCCCTTACATAGATAGCTAGAGCCCGGAGTCGGAGCCGTAGAGCACTAGTTCCTCCGATTGTTCCGTATACCAAGACTTCCATATTAGGTCATGACTCGCACGTCCCTACACCGGGGCCCCACCAGTGTCCCACCTGTGCCTGTAGCATTCAGTTCTCTGACAGAGGGTGAGCGGAATAGGCCCGTCCTTGGCAATCTTGGGAAGCTGATACGAAAAGGTAGGGGGACCCACTGGTTAGGTGAATCCCATTCAATTAGATACTATAACGTTACGCACTGCTGCATTGTAGCATCCTCCCCCCTAGGTGCACGCATCAAGATTTGATGCGAGTGCATATGGGGTGTGAATTGTTGTATTGGGAAAGGATGGCCAGGTCAGCTATTCTGGCCTGGCAGAGCTCTTTTATAGCTCTTATCTATCTTATCTATAGCTATAGGGTAACCCCCCATGGGGTCACGTATCAGAAGCTGCCTTTGGAGAATTTCTACGACATTCTGGAGCTCTCGGAGGTTAGATCAATCTAC